GCTTGTGGTCGCCCACCTTTATCAAGCCAGGCCTCACTGAGCTCGACATTCCTCTCCTAGATACAAACACTCAGGAAATAAATTCTATTTTCACAAGTACGGCTTTACTTGTGTCAAGAAACTTATATCTCGACAATTGACAAGACGACAATATTTTATCATCTTTCAGTCATCTTTTGTTTAAATTCTATTTTGATAACCTAAAATATGTTAACATTATAAAAAATACACAGTTTAACATTGCGCCTAGCTGCCACTTGAGCTGGTGGAGAGCAATGGTAAGCTGAGGATTTTTTATATTTTTTTTTTGTAAACTTTTTCCTCTTTTTTTTTCATTATTTTTTTATAACCACTCGAGCACGAATTTAATCCCAATTTTTAATATATTTTATGCTAACAAGATAGAATTTAAACAAAAGATCAAGTTCGATAGATAGTTCATGTGGGCCTTAAGAACAGAATTAACACTTTCATGGAAGACAGGAAATTTATATAGCGTTCCACATCTTGTGACCTCACAGGAAATCGTTGGATAGGCATTTGGATTAGGTAGGAAGGATTACATGTCTAAATTCAACACACACGTTCAACACAGTTTTCAACACAATTTTCAACAAAATAAGGAAAATTAGTTACGTATACAAGTCAATAATTTAATTTGAAAAAATAATAATAGTAATTCAATTTGACACCATAATACAACACTCAAGAGTTCAGAGTCTAATTTTTTTCAATTTCTTTATACTTTACCGCTATTTTTGAATTTTTATTAAATTGACTTTCATACATAAATAATTACCCTTATTTCGTTTAGAATTGTGTTGAAAGTGTATGTTAAATTCGCATGTGTCGAAATTTACGTGCGTTATTTAGACCTGCAATAATAAAATGTGAGCCAGGAAAATTCCCGATATGATTTGACACGAAAAATTACCTTTCAATAACAAATTTTGTACTTTTTTTGTTTTTAAAATGAAGAGCAATTTGTTCATAAAGAGGCGAATTCTCAAATTACAGGTTTGGGAGAAGGCATATGTTAAATTTAAAATTTCGAAACGATTTAATGGATTGAGTCAACGAGAGTTGATTTGATAAATTACTTTCTTATCAGAAATAAATTATTATAGTCGTTAGGACCAGTACAGAATTGGTTGACGATATCTTTTCCAATTTCAGTGTCACATATTTACTTCTTGTCCATTTTCGACTCATGAGTTTCTTAATACAAGTCAAACCGTATTTGTGGAAGAATTTTTTCGGTCGGTGTACATATAGTTTCAATGAAAATAGTAGATAAGGCGGTAGCAATAAAAAGCTGTACCAGAGGGAAGTAAAAACTAAAAGACAAAGTGCCCGTCAGAGAACGGTGTGCGATAGATGAAACAGCATTTCTTGTGGTTTTTTTTATTAAATCGGAAGTGAATGGATGGGATACCGGTATGAAGCTCTAGGGCCTAGAGTCTAGGCGATCAGGAAAAGCTGCCCAAAGGTTCCATTTTGGACTCAATGGAAGAACCATTTTCTAGGGATAGAAATGAAGGGGGGCAGAACATCCTTATTACATCCTTTAGCCCCTCTTTTGCTAAAATTATCGGTTTTTTTTAGTTTTCTGAGAAATTGTTGATCCGATTGATACGAAAAAATATACCATTTTCACATTTTTTTATCATTATTTAACGAGTCCCGAAATGTCATAATCATGCAATAATTTTTCGGTGTGTTTTTTAAATTTTCAAAAATCCATAAAACTTTATAAAAAATATAGTCAAAATATTTGTTAGAAAATTCCAAAGATCGGCAATTCTGGCTAAACGAGGGTAGGACATCCTTACCAGAGACTGTTGGATTTCGGGGATTTCCCCGGCTACAAAATTATTCCACGCCTTTCAAGTTTTATTTTTCTCATTTGAGGGAGGATAGTTTATTGCCACATTTCTTTGGGATTGTCCCTAGTTGTCAAAAGCGAAAATGTCTTAAATCCTTCATTAGTTTTTATAATACTTGAATATTCTCAAAAATACATCTGGTGACCAGATATGGTTGGGAAAGGTAAAAGGAAAATATTTCTAGAGGTGGGAAATATATTGCCCTCTACGGGACAACAGGGCCTTGCTCGTATACCTTGTCAGTCACTTGTGGTAAAATTATTATAAGTAAAATTATTTAAACGTTAACCAACGTGTTTTCTTACTTTTAACTCCATAATCCAACAGAAAGTATTATTTTCTACGATGGGTACAACTTAATACGTTCATTTCAATGTTAAAAGGGCTTTAGACGATTGTTTTCAGCAATGAGTTTGTTATTGAAATCGCTGCTTGACAATATAATGCATCTATGAGAGAAACGACTCAAGCCTAATAATTTATTTGATTATTTTTTTCTCCTTTTCGCGTAAAATAAAAGTAACGCCGCACTGTTTCGATCGATTTGAAATTTTTACCTTTTTACGATAAAAGAAACCTAATTGAATAAAATACTTAAATTACAAGTTCAAAGAAAATTTATGTTAACGAATTGGTGTAAGAACTGATCAGACTAGAAGAAAAAACCTAATAAATTTTTTTTATAATTGACGAGTTCGTCAATTCTGAAAAGAAACTGCAGACAATTTTTTTCGAATACTTGGGAGCAGCACGATTCGTAATTATTTAAGGCTCTGACTATGAATACTGATTATTTGCAGGTACTGAATTGTATTTATATTTTCAGTTCCTGTTAGTAGTTGTTCGAAACATTTCCCTGCTTTTCATTACAAGAGAAGTTTTGGACTAAATACTAAAATATTCCATCTGAGAAGAATCCTTGAATTTGCGGATGTGAACAAAATCAGAAAGCCCCCTATTTTCATCATTGCAATACTGCAAAACCTCAGACTTGAAAACTTTTAAAGAAAATTCGATAAAATTTCTGTAGCAAAGCAAAAACTAATTAAGTTAACGTACCTCTCTGGTAAGTTTTTCGAAAATATCTCTGAAATAAGAAGAGATAATAACATTTTTGTTAAAATCTTTTCTGTAGAACTAATTGAGAACTACGAAAACAATTATTTTCAAAGTTTTGGAAACTCCCTTAGTTTGGAAAAAATATCCGAAAATCCTGCCAAAGGGTGAGTCAACTTCTTCGTCAACCACTTAACTACAGATATTGGCAGTAAAAAATTCAATATGTGACCTATAGATTTGCATATATATTTATTTCCGTGATGGTTGAGTCACTTGGTGTGCAATTTCACTAGAGATTTCATTCTTCCAATTAGGTACCTCGAGAGCCAACAAAAGGTTCCCCATATCAAATGTTTTAGACGAAGATATATTGATAAATGTTATCTTCGTCGTACTCATGAAGGAAACCTAGCGATCGCAGTGCCATTACTGCGTAAACTGGCCACCGATCGACTAGCAACTAGCAACTAGCAACTACTTGATAGACTTGACTTGCACTCACAAATAATTACTTTTCTCGAATAAGCAGAATGACCTAATTCTCTAAAATCTCACCCTAAAATTACCATTCAATTTTCTCGCCTTAAACGAATTACTTCAACACCAGCAAACACAATTGACAGGAATAATCTCTCTTTTCTGAAGGTGCAACTGTGTTCTCATATAAACAAGAAAAAAATTGTTAAATAAATGCCAACACCTATGCCAACTACAGCTCCAATTCTTTCTGTCAATTTAACGGACTTGGCAGAAGTAAATTCATTTATCGGAAGTAATTTTTTTTGTAATGTAATATGTGCACGAGTTTCCTCTATCGAATCGTTTATTCAATTACAGCCAGAGACATGCGTGTGAAAATTCGCCTCGATTGAATAATGAAAAAACAAGTATATTCTACAGTAATTCTCAAGATAATACAGTTCTACCATAACCATGACCCTCTACCCATCCACACATGTTTGCGGTCATGCGCCTCCATTCAACAAAGACATTTGTTATGAAAAATATTCAGTGATTTTCCTTCCAGACCCTCTCTCTACCACCAATAAAAATAACAGTACACTTTAAAGGGGTATATTTGTTACGATGGTTATCTTAGAAATCATCTAAAATCCAATAAATGTCAATTAATGTCATTAGCAAGTGCACTGCTATCCAATAACGCCCATTAACAAAAGGAGAGATTGAAATGATACGAATTCCCCTAACGCGAGAAAATTCAATAGTGCGTTCATTGATGTCACTTAATTTTCTAACTCCTTTGATGTAAAAATACCCAAACTATTTCACTGGGAACATGGAGCCTCACGAGAGGAAGACCAGAAACATTAATTCTCTCTTCCAAGAAGAATGAATGAATGTTTTAATGTATATGAAAAATGTAAACACGTCCAGAGTTTGGAATGTATTTTAGATAGCATATCATGACATAAATGCAGGGAACACCAAATGAAAGGAATAGTACGATTCACTGTTCATTATTTAGCGGAAAAAGGCAGTCTTTCCTGTTGATAATCGAAATGTACGTGAATTGTCACATCACCGGAAATAACGCTAAATATATAGTTTTTTTTTCAATTTGAGTGAGTAATGAATAAAAGAAGTTTGTGATGGCTGAAACCAATAATTTTTTTTGTATGGGACAAATGAACCTCCATTTTACCACGACATTGTTTTTCTATTTTCTGGCTCAGTGACTGGTGCTGTCAACATACATTCGATATCCTGCAGGAGAGCCATGAATAAATCTCTTGAAATATTTACAACAAAAATAGAAAAAAATAAAGATTACCTCTCGTGTATTCATTTGAAAAGTACTCCACGAATAATCCGTCAATATGAGTGAAATGAATGGACTAGAAAGAATCACGCACTGTATCCAAACAATCACTCGGGATATGAATCAGATTGCATTCAATACATATATGTGTGTATATACTGGAGTGGCTGAATGTAGATAAACTTTGTGTTTGATGCACCCATAAACTGAGGAACGAACTGTCAGTCACAGTGAATTATT